AGCAAAGGAGTCAATGGACACAATATGGAGTTCATAAGCTGGAAACACAGTAATCTGCTGAATATTTTAATGCCCCCCCCCCCATACACACACAAACACTCACTCCCAGCACGAGGCTGACTTGTTACATCTCGCGGAGGAGCGCTCAGCTGGACAAAATAGTGCCGCGGTTCAATTTGCAAGCGAGAGTTCGCGTCTTAAGCTGATGCCAAATTTCTTTTTTTCACGGAAGCTGGTTCAGACGTCGGGTGTTCGTAAACCAATCGTTCGTAAGTTGGGGATTCCTAAGTCGGGTATTTGTAAGTCGGGAGTTCACAAGTTGATGCCTGCATGCACATGAGTAAAACCTATTCTTATTTTTTCAGCATCTTGGACACTGGCAAAAAGGTGCCAAATATATAACAGCTCGACCCGAGCTATAAGTGTTGTGAAACTTGTGTAGTGAGCGTCTTCCAAGACACGACCTAACCAACATGGCAACTCGCTAAATAACCTAACCAACAGCCCCATCGTCAGCGTCTAACTATATAGCTGGCTGACTAATATAGCGACGACGATGATGGGAGTCGTACAGCGGATCGGCCACGCGGCCGGACGATGAAGAAGAGATGGCGGCGAAGACAACGACGGCAGCCAGGACCCGGACCCCACGACAGCCCCAAACTTCCGGTCCCGTCCCCCCTTATATACTCCTCGGCGTGGCCAGGCAGAGCCTCCGGCCGCAACCCCTTCTAGAACCTTCGAGCAGGTTCCCAGAGCTTCCCGACTGACCTCGCCTTTAACCTTTAGCCCAGCTACGCCCTCCTTATAGTTGGTTATTATCTCACGCACCCATACCCGTGATTATCCCTCCTGGCCAACAGATGGCACCCTGTCATTACACTTGCATTGTCTTTGTGCTGTTCGCCTATTAGCGTTGTTCTCTGGTCTAACACTGGTGGTGAGACTAGGCCACAAAGAAGGCTGTCGTCTCTGGTGTCGGCCAATCAGTTTCAAGGACAATGCATCTACAGGGTGTTTCAAAAGGCTGGACCCAATTTCAGAGATATGGCGATTTCAAATCGGGTCCATCTTTTTGAAACACCCTGTATTATTATCATGGCGTGTTTGTTTGCATGCTTTGCCACGAGTTTGTGTGGTTAATGCAGACGGTATATACGCGGTGTTTGAATATCTTAAAAACAGGCTGAGAGTGAGCACCACACTCTGGCTCAAACTTCTTAGACAGCAAAGATTGCAAATGCTGCGTTTCAAGTCGAATTGCTTCAAGGAAGCGACAACTCGAGATACCAACCGGGGTAGAGTCTCTTTTGCACGAGGGATTAGGGTCAACGACGTCACAAAAATCATGAGAAATAAAATACAAAAGTGTCACATCGATGATCCACCACGACCCCCGATCGCTGCTCCTGACGCAGTTATCTGCTGGCCTGACCACCTGAATGTGAGTCGCAGCTGCTGCTGCTGCATCTACATCAGCGGCTGCTGCTGCTGCATCTACATCAGCGGCCACACTAAAGGAGGTGGGGCCAGAAAGACGTGGCAACTGTTTGTGGAGATTGGCGCAAGACAGAGAGGAACATGGAACTGTAAACAATGGCGACATGTGCAGTGGACAGCTGCCCACGGACCGTGATTATGATGTTGTAGGGTTAGAGGTTAGGGTTCAGGATAAGGGTTACCTTCTGGTTGTGGGTTTAGGGTTAATAGGGTTGAGGGTTTAGGGTTAGGGGCCGTCCATAAATAACGTCACGCGATTTTGGACGATTTTTGACCCCCCCCCCCCCCTAGTCACACGGCGTCACAAAAAGTCAGACCCCCTTCAAATATGACGTCACAAAGCTCTGCCCCCCACCCAAAAAAAATAAAACACGCTTCAAATCGCTTTAAACTATTGTCATTGTAGTGCGTATTTAATGTGGCGCTGCTCTGATGTTGTAGGAGAAGACATTTATTCAAAAGTCTATTTAATTAAGTAGAACGTGTTGTCTGTATTTATTTAAAGTTGCGCATTTTGATGTGCGTCACATTTCTCAAACCCCCCTCGTCACACATCTGACCCCCCCAGGTGCGTGACGTCATTTATGGACGGCCCCTTAGTGCTGTAGGGTTGCAGTGGATGTGCACACGAGGTTCTACACAAGTCACGTGATGCCCTCTCGTGGACAAACGGGCAACTGCAGCCGCTGCCCTGCATGGAACAAAACTGGGCAGACGACAGCCTCCACATGTACCCTGTCGAGCGTGGGTTCTTACCCCTCCTCCTCCTCCTCACCATCATCCCATCAGCCGCACAACCATCTCAGGGTGCCTCTCATCAGCAGCGCTGATTCAACACAAGCAACGCGGCGGGACAAGCTTCGGCATTCGGCGTCTCATCAGCGGTCAGATGCCACTGGTTCTTCACGTTTTGCAGGTGTAGATGCCACTGGTTCTTCACGTTTTGCAGATGTAGATGCCACTGGTTCTTCACGTTCTACAGATGTAGATGCCACTGGTTCTTCACGTTCTACAGATGTAGATGCCACTGGTTCTTCACGTTCTGCAGATGTAGATGCCACTGGTTCTTTACGTTTTGCAGATGTAGATGCCACTGGTTCTTCACGTTCTACAGATGTAGATGCCACTGGTTCTTCACGTTCTACAGATGTAGATGCCACTGGTTCTTCACGTTCTGCAGATGTAGATGCCACTGGTTCTTCACGTTCTGTAAATGTAGATGCCACTGGTTCTTCACGTTCTGTAGATGTAGATGCCACTAGTTCTTCACGTTCTGTAGATATCGATGCTAATTCCCTCTGGTGCTCGTGTTTTCTCTCTACTCTCTTGAAAATTTACCAAGAGCAGTCTGCACAATTGCTCTCTTCTTCTATTCATGAATCAACTCGTACCAGGCAATAGCGTCATGAACAGCTGCAACTGGACATACGGACAGCTTTGTTCGTAAGTCGAATGTCCGTAAGTAGAGGAGTCCCTGTGATATCGATCGCCCCTTTTGCTTGCGCAGCGTGTGGCGGTAGAGAGGTCACCGTGACACTTCAAGTGACATCAACGACGGAGATCGTCATGGGAGAACACGACTGTGTAGGAACTCCACAACGCATTGGCTCGGGCTTGCAATGCACGTGCATTGGCTGCGCAGATGATTGGGGCAAGCGGGTTGGCACGAACTAAGTTTTAACGACATCGACACTCGTCAACAACCCATGACTCTTAAAAAAAGAACAACGCGTACTATAGGCAACGTTTCGGGGAACGACCTTCCCGCACCGAGTTGCTGGGGGACGTCCCCCGCGACCTCTGGTGGTGGAGGTGGGAATGGGACCTCGGATCCTGGGAGGGAGGAATCGCCAGTTAAATGACCTAACCAACATGGCCACTCGCTAAATGAGCTAACCAACATGGCCACTCGCTAAATGAGCTAACCAACATGGTCACTCGCTAAATGAGCTAACCAACATGGCTACTCGCTAAATGACCTAACCAACATGGCCACTCGCTAAATGACCTAATCAACATGGCCACTCGCTAAATGACCTAACCAACATGGCCACTCGCTAAAATACCTAACCAACATGGTCACTCGCTAAATGACCTAATCAACATGGCCACTCGCTAAATGACCTAACCAACATGGCCACTCGCTAAATGACCTAACCAACATGGCCACTCGCTAAATGACCTAACCAACATGGCCACTCGCTAAATGACCTAACCAACATGGCCACTCGCTAAATGACCTAATCAACATGGCCACTCGCTAAATGACCTAACCAACATGGCCACTCGCTAAAATACCTAACCAACATGGTCACTCGCTAAATGACCTAATCAACATGGCCACTCGCTAAATGACCTAACCAACATGGCCACTCGCTAAATGACCTAACCAACATGGCCACTCGCTAAATTACCTAACCAACATGGCCACTGGCTAAATTACCTAACCAACATGGCCACTCGCTAAATGAGCTAACCTACATGGCCACTCACTAAATGAGCTAACCAACATGGCCACTCGCTAAATGACCTAACCAACATGGCCACTCGCTAAATTACCTAACCAACATGGCCACTCGCTAAATGAGCTAACCTACATGGCCACTCACTAAATGAGCTAACCAACATGGCCACTCGCTAAATGACCTAATCAACATGGCCACTCGCTAAATGACCTAACCAACATGGCCACTCGCTAAATGACCTAACCAACATGGCCACTCGCTAAATGACCTAACCAACATGGCCACTCGCTAAATGACCTAACCAACATGGTCACTCGCTAAATGAGCTAACCAACATGGCCACTCGCTAAATGACCTAACCAACATGGCCACTCGTTAAATGACCTAACCAACATGGCCACTCGCTAAATGACCTAACCAACATGGCCACTGGCTAAATTACCTAACCAACATGGCCACTCGCTAAATGACCTTACCAACACGGCCACTCGCTAAATGACCGACCCAACAAATCCTCCCATAGACTTCAAAGTTAAAGGCTCCCGAGACAAAGGAGACACTGGGAGACAGAGTCACCGGGAGACAGACAGAGTCACCGGGAGACAGACAGAGACACGGTCTAAAAGTCTTCTACACGTGCACGCGAAGGCTTGTCTTGAGTGATTTTCTGCAAATCGCGTTTTAAAATGTGCATATCACCCTTGGACACGGGCGGCTTCCGTAAATCCTACATGACGGCAAGGTCAAACACCCCCCCCCCATGACCCCTTCCCCTCAAGTTTAGCCCCGCCCTCTCCTACTAAGCCCCGCCCTTTATATTGCCCCCCCCACCCTCGCTATCAGGCCCCGCCCTCACACTTTCAGCCCCCCCCCCCCGCCTCTCTTCTCTTGGCCCCGCCTATCAACTTGTCGCCCCCCCCCACCGCCAACCTCCCAGTGGGGAAGTCTCCGCCCACTTCCCAACCAAGCTCCGCCCCCTCAAATTGGCCACGCCCTCCTCATGAATATGCAAATTTAGACCCGCCCACTCTGCCGCGTGGCTCCGCCCACCACACTTCCGCGAGGCCTGGTCGCGGCTAGTCCCACGGCGGGAGCGACTTAACAACAACAACAACGGCAACAACATCAACAACAACAACGTCGCATTCGTTCACACCGCAAGGGCGATGGGGGACGAGGCTCTGTTCGAGTTCCTTCACATGGAGGTCGTCTCCTACGTGTGTCACTCAGTGGCGCAAGACGACGCGGTGAGCTGAGCACTCGGTGACACCACCACAGTGACACCACCACCACCACCACAGTGACACCACCACAACCACAGTGACACCACCACCACCACAGTGACACCACCACCACCACCACAGTGACACCACCACCACCACAGTGACACCACCACCACAGTGACACCACCACCACCACAGTGACACCACCACCACCACAGTGACACCACCACCACCACAGTGACACCACCACCACCACCACAGTGACACCACCACCACCACAGTGACACCACCACCACCACCACAGTGACACCACCACCACAGTGACACCACCACCACAGTGACACCACCACCACAGTGACACCACCACCACCACAGTCACACCACCACCACAGTGACACCACCCACAGTGACACCACCACCACAGTGACACCACCACCACCACAGTGACACCACCACCACCACCACCACCACAGTGACACCACCACCACCACAGTGACACCACCACCACCACAGTGACACCACCACCACCACAGTGACACCACCACCACAGTGACACCACCACCACAGTGACACCACCACCACCACAGTGACACCACCACCACCACAGTGACACCCACCACAGTGACACCACCACCACAGTCACACCACCACCACAGTGACACCACCACCACAGTGACACCACCACCACAGTGACACCACCACCACCACAGTGACACCACCAACACCACAGTGACACCACCACCACCACAGTGACACCACCACCACAGTGACACCACCACCACAGTGACACCACCACCACCACCACCACCACAGTGACACCACCACCACCACCACCACCACAGTGACACCACCACCACCACAGTCACACCACCAACCACAGTGACACACCACCACAGTGACACCACCACCACAGTGACACCACCACCACCACAGTGACACCACCACCACCACCACAGTGACACACCACCACCACAGTGACACCACCACCACAGTGATACCACCACCACAGTGACACCACCAACACCACAGTGACACCACCACCACCACAGTGACACCACCACCACCACCACAGTGACACCACCACCACCACAGTGACACCACCACCACAGTGACACCACCACCACAGTCACACCACCACCACAGTCACACCACCACCACAGTGACACCACCACCACAGTGACACCACCACCACAGCGACACCACCACCACAGTGACACCACCACCACCACCACCACAGTGACACCACCACCACAATGACACCACCACCACAGTGACACCACCACCACCACAGTGACACCACCACCACCACAGTGACACCACCACCACAATGACACCACCACCACAGTGATACCACCACCACCACCACAGTGACACCACCAACACCACAGTGACACCACCACCACCACCACAGTGACACCACCACCACCACCACAGTGACACCACCACCACAGTGACACCACCACCACCACAGTGACACCACCACCACAGTGACACCACCACCACCACAGTGACACCACCAACACCACCACCACCACAGTGACACCACCACCACCACAGTGACAACCACCACCACCACCACCACAGTGACACCACCACCACCACCACAGTGACACCACCACCACAGTGACACCACCACCACCACCACAGTGACACCACCACCACAGTGACACCACCAACACCACCACCACCACCACAGTGACACAACCACAGTGACACCACAACCACAGTGACACCACCACCAACACCACCACCATCACCACAGTGACACCACCACCACCACAGTGACACCACCACCACCACAGTGACACCACCACCACCACAGTGACACCACCACAGTGACACCACCACCACAGTGACACCACCACCACAGTGACAACACCACCACCACAGTGACACCACCACCACCAACACCACCACCGCCACAGTGACACCACCACCACCACAGTGACACCACCACCACAGTGACACCACCACCACAGTGACACCACCACCACAGTGACACCACCACCACCAACACCACCACCGCCACAGTGACACCACCACCACCAACACCACCACCGCCACAGTGACACCACCACCACCACCGTGACACCACCACCACAGTGACACCACCACCACAGTGACACCACCACTACAGTGACACCACCACCAACACCACCACCGCCACAGTGACACCACCACTACCACCACCACCACTACAGTGACACCACCACCACAGTGACACCACCACCACCACCACAGTGACACCACCACCACCAACACTACCACCACCACCAACACCACCACCACAGTGACACCACCACCACCACAGTGACACCACCACCACCACCACAGTGACACCACCACCAACACTATCACCACCACCACCACCACAGTGACACCACCACAGTGACACCACCACAGTGACACCACCACAGCGAGACCACCACCACCACAGTGACACCACCACCACCACCACCACAGTGACACCACCACCACCACCACCACCACAGTGACACCACCACCACCACAGTGACACCACCACCACCACAGTGACACCACTACCATCACCACCACAGTGACACCACCACCACCACAGCGACACCACCACCACCACAGTGACACCACCACCACAGTGACACCACCACCACCACCACAGTGACACCACCACCACCACCACAGCGACATCACCACCACCACCACCACAGTGACACCACCACCACCACAGTGACACCACCACCACCACCACAGTGACACCACCACCACCACAGTGACACCACCACCACCACAGTGACACCACCACCACCACCACAGTGACACCACCAACACCACAGTGACACCACCACCACCACAGTGACACCACCACCACCACAGTGACACCACCAGACAGACAGAGAGTGGAGTGGAAACAACAAATAAAAAATGTAGCAGTGGACACCTCCCAGGGGCTATGGATCGTGGTGATGATGATGATGTTACCTGCCCTACCTTATTAAGCGCCATTGCAGACATTATTGGTCACCCTATGTCCTTTTAAATCTCAACGTTCATCTTACAAAGTCCCATCACAAGAGAGAAACAACACAAATAGACAACATAGTCTTCGTGTTGTCTGTATTGACACGGCCGCACGCTGCCGTATGGACCTGAACTCAATTTCCCCGCTGAAGAATTCGGGGTGAATCGTATGGAATGGAAGGCGATGACGGTGGTGGGGGTGGGTGCTGATTCACGGTGCTGTTCACATTTTGGCGTCCTCTGGTCTAACAATGTTTGAGACGAGGCTCTAAAGAAAGCTGTCTCTGGTGTGGACCAATCAGTTTCAAAGACAAATGCATCATCATATACTGTCAGACCACAAGTATCTATGGCTAATGCAGTGACATGATGCCTTGCAAAAGGTTTCAGTTTGAGTTAACATCTTAACACAACTGTTTTGTTGCCAGAACAAAGGGGAAAACCTCTTGTTATATTTTGACACTGGCAACGGAGGTCCCATGATGTATATAAATGCATCGTCAAAACCGCCAGCCATCGCCACCCGACGCAGCCCATTCAAGCGAGGTGCGTCACGTGAGATCCAATCTCTCATCACTTGACGCGAGAAGACGTCTGCGTTGATGCCCTCTTCATCCGTGCAATCCTCGTTGGCAAATCTGCGCTTCGCTACTTTGTGAACCTCTAATTGCCTTTCAACTATCCCAAGAACGAGGATCGGAATGGGCGACACAAATCCTTCGCCATTGCAGCAGCGCCGACAAAGATTTGGGAACGACGACCGCACTGGCAACAGCAACCTTGCTTCCTCCCTTGACATCGCAAATCTTCCGCCTCGAAAACATTCAAAGCGGAAGATTCTTGCTGGAGGACTGCAGCCAAATTTGCAAAATGTGATTTAATGTATTGAGAGTTCAGTGTTAATGCACAATTTACATTGAGGCTTTACTATGTGTGTTTGTCTTGGTGTGGTCTGGGTCTGCTGTTGTTTTACTGCCCTTTCAGAGGCTTGGTAATCGATGCAATTTGAACTTATATGCTGTATTTCTTTATTAAAGGGGTGCCAGGGTAAACATGAGGTTCGGGGTTCGATCCCGACCCTGACGCCTGCTGTATATGTGGAGTTTGCATGGTGGTGAGATGTTAACTACTTCGCCAGGTATGCAGGAAGTCGTGGGGTTTGATCCCGACCCTGACGCCTGCTCTATATTTGGAGTTTGCGTGGTGGTGAGATGTTAACTACCTCGCCAGGTATGCAGGAAGTCAGGGGTTTGATCCCGACCCTTACGCCTGCTGTATATTTGGAGTTTGCGTTTCTCTCTATTTCTCTCTCCCCGCGTGGTCACGTGGTATTTTTTCTCCGGGTCCTCCGGTTTTTCCTTCCACATTTATTTTGCTGCTATAAATGTCCAAATGATGAAGCCACTTTGTTGAGCTATCATTTGTGGCCAGGTCGCTTCTGAAAAATAAGTGAATACCTCCGTGGGCTTTGCCTGGTAGGATGGGAATGGTTTAGTTGTTGTATTTGTTTGTGTTTGGGGTGATTTATTTTCTTGTTCTTTTCACTCATATCTTGTTATTGTTGTAACATTCTTACCCCGTGCCCTTACTCCCCATTCATAGCTAATCAGATTCCTCCTACTGCAGTATAAATACATTTATTTTGATTCTGATGATGCAAACTCCAAATATACAGAAGACATCGTCAGGGTCGGGATCGAACCCATGACCTCGTGTATGTGAGGCAAGGTGGTTAACATCTCCCCACATCGGCCGCCCCCTCCCCTTCATAGCTCATCGGATTCCTCCTGCAGTACAAATAAAATTGATTCTGATTCCGGTTCGCTGATCCTTGCAGGAGAATGGGAAAGTCACGGCCAAGTTGGAGAACTTGGGATACAGAGTGGGACAAGGTCTGGTGGAGAGGTGAGAGATTGAAACGGTTTGTGTGGTTTTGGTTGCCGGCGGCGGTGTGGGAGACCCCCCCCCCCCCCATCGGACACGCGCTCTGTCATCGTCAAGGACTGCTCGGTCGGCTCTTTGTGATTGCACGGAGACATCGTCAGCGACCAGACGAGACTGGATCATTGTCTAGGGAGCCCATTAAGAGAGCGGTCCGTCATTTGTCTAGAGCGGTGGTTGCTGACCAGGCGAGGGAATTAACACATTCCTGCGGAGGGAGCGGGTAGGAACGTTGGGTTGCTCGGTCAATGGCCAGGGTCAATGGCGGCATGGTGTATTCCGCAAATATGCCCGACTGTGAGGGCGGGCACAAGCCGGCGTGAGTAGGTTAAACGTCGAGTTTTATAAGGGCACCACGGGGTGACCAGCCCCTCCCCACCCAGCCCCACCCCTCCCACTCCCCTCCCAGCCCCACCCTCCCCACCCTCCTCACCCAGCCCCACCCAGCCCCTCCCCACCCTCCCCTCTCCAACCAGCCCCACCCCTCCCATTTTTGGATGCACGACGGACGGACGGACACAATAATCCCCTGTGGGCTAGTGGAACCAGGTGGTTCCTACCAGTAACATCCTCTAGCCACCGTGACGATACTCCACTCTCCTTCCCGTGGTGGAGCCATGGCTACAAGAGTTGCCCTCCAACCCTCCCTCCCAACCTGGGGTTACGCAGACCCCTGGGTAGGGCACGTTGCAATGTCCCAGAGGGGTACGCGAGGTGATTTATAAATGTGTGAAATTATGTCCTATACATGAGTGTCGTTGGTGAATGATCACGTTGTATTAATCTGCCGATATAAAATAACTAAGGTAAAATGTTAATCAATACGGTAACCTTGAACCATATAAAAGACCTCCCCAATCTCATTGATTGTAAACAATGTTGGTTTGCAAGAGTAACCAGTGAGTGTGAACTTATTACGTCACACAGAGCAGAGCGTCCGTTGATTTTAGTTTTTTATTCACTCGCATTTCCTGGCAGCTAGTTAGGGATAGCCTCAGAAAATGGACAATTGCCCATAGACTCAGCACTGCCCATAGACTCAACACTGCCCATAGACTCAACACTGCCCATAGATTTAACACTGCCCATAGACTCACCACTGCCCATAGACTCAACACTGCCCATAGATTCAACACTGCCCATAGACTCACCACTGCCCATAGACTCAACACTTGCCCATAGACCCAACACTGCCCATAGACTCACCACTGCCCATAGACTCAACACTTGCCCATAGACCCAACAATGCCCATAGACTCAACACTGCCCATAGACTCAACACTGCCCATAGTCTCAACACTGCCCATAGACTAAACACTGCCCATATAATCAACACTGCCCATAGTCTCAACACTGCCATAGACTCAACACTGCCCATAGACTCACACTGCCCATATACTCAACACTGCCCATAGACTCAACACTGCCCATTTACTCAACACTGCCCATAGACTCAACACTTGCCCATAGACTCAACACTTGCCCATAGACCCAACACTGCCCATAGACTCACCACTGCCCATAGACTCAACACTTGCCCATAGACCCAACACTGCCCATAGACTCAACACTGCCCATAGACTCAACACTGCCCATAGTCTCAAGACTGCCCATAGACTCAACACTGCCCATAGTCTCAACACTGCCCATAGTCTCAACACTGCCCATAGACTCAACACTGCCCATAGACTCAACACTGCCCATAGTCTCAACACTGCCCATAGACTCAACACTGCCCATAGTCTCAACACTTGCCCATAGACTCAACACTACCCATAGACTCAACACTGCCCATAGACTCAACACTGCCCATAGTCTCAACACTGCCCATAGACTCAACACTACCAATTAACTAACACTACCCATAAACTCAACACTGCCCATAGACTCAACACTGCCCATAGACTCAACACTGCCCATAGTCTCAACACTGCCCATAGACTCAACACTACCAATTAACTAACACTACCCATAAACTCAACACTGCCCATAGACTCAACACTGCCCATAGTCTCAACACTGCCCATAGTCTCAACACTGCCCATAGTCTCAACACTGCCCATAGACTTAACACTGCCCATAGACGCAACACTGCCCATAGACTCAACACTGCCCATAGACTCAGCACTGCCCATAGACTCAACACTGCCCATAGACTCAACACTGTGTGGGGGGCGGTAGTGTAGCGGTTATCGCTACGCTGCGCTACGATCTCGGCGACCCGAGTTCGATTCCCGCTCACGGACCAACACCGGTGACGATTATCTCAACCGGTCCTGAGTCTCCCCGAGGTCGACTCAACCTCAAATGAATAACCTAGTTCGGTTTGTAAACATTGCCACTAGGGAGACAAAGGCGGCCGGGCGTGGTGCTGGCCACCCACTCCTTCGTGTGCCGTGCCGGCCTTCATAGGTGCTGCTCGCAAACAGCACTTGCCCCAACGAGTCTGTTAAGGCTATACGGTGGATCTTTATCTTTGTGTGAGTAAGTGTGTGTGTCTGCATTAGACTTAATCCCAGCTGATCTAGCATGGCTGTTGTTACAGCAGGATTATTGCTTTGTGTGCGTACGTGTCCCTGTGCGTGTCAGTCCGTGTGTCCCTGTGTGTGTGTGTCCATGCCGCTCGCTAACCACACTTGCCCCAACAGTCTGTTAAGGCTACACGGGGGGGGGGGGAACTTTGCCTTTGCGTCAGGTTTACCCGCGACAGCCCCCGCTTCAAGGATGAGCTCGACGTGATGAAGTTCATCTGCAAGGACTTCTGGACGAGCGTCTTCAAGAAGCAGATCGACAACCTGCGGACGAACCACCAGGTGTCCCCACGCGCACGCTGCAGCTGTGCACACTGACTAACGCGTTTCCTTAGAGCTGCTGCTTGTTGTTGTTGTGTTTAGTTTGTTGACCTTCTCCTCCCCCGCACCTCCGCTTAGCGCGGTTGGCTACCTACGGCGCGAAAGAAGTTCAACACACGTACACTACATTACACACTACAATACACACTACACGAGACATTGCAATACACTATACAATACGCTACACACCACACTTCGAAACATCACAATATACCAAGATGAAAACTCTTTTCTCTAGAGCTGCTTTGTGTGTTTAGTTTGTTGTCCTTCTCCCCGCACCTCCGATTAGCACGTTTGGCTACGTACGGCGTGAAAGAAATTCAACATACGTACGCACATACATACCACGTCGCTTGTGCCAGGCTAGGTGCACTTTGAGGCCGTCGCGTGAAGTGTGGAAGGCTCTCGCTGCTGGGCAGCAGGAGGTCACGGGGGACCGAGGCAGGTGCCATGGGTTGGCTGACTTGAGATGACTGGCCGATGCACCACCTGTGCCCCCCCCCCCCCGTTTTGCCACCTCGCTGCATCATCTCAACCCTTTCCCCCTTTCCGAGGCGTCTGCGAGTTGCAGGGTGGGATGGTCGCGTTCGCCGCCGCATCTCGGAACGCGCGAGCGGGTTCGGCGTTATTCGTATTTAGAGAGGCTTGGTCGTAGCGCCGTTCATTATCAAGACGCTGTACTCACCGTTGTAGAATTGCAGTGGACGCCTACACGAATTTCTGCCCATGGAGTTTGATGATGATGACGATGACGACGATCTACTCACCGCAGAGAACCGTAGCGTCACGACCGCCAGCACTCGACCATAGCCGGCACCAACACTGTGCCACTCGCCCTCCTGCATGGCCTTGCGGGAGCCTCGGTAGCGATAAAAGTAATGAGATTTTTGTTCTCACGGTTCCGTTCCGATGATGCTCCATCACTTGTTTAAAATGCGTGGCACTGTTGGTGTCTGTGTGTAAGTCCGTTACAAGGGGTAGTGTAGCGGTGAGCGCGCTGCGCTATGAACCCGGCGACCCGAGTTTGATTTCCGCTCACGGCCAAGACCAGTGATGATTATCTTAACCGGGCCTGGGCCTTTCCCCCTAGGTCGACTCGGCCTTAAATGGGTACTTGGTGAGACGTGGACACGTCACCACTAGGGAGACAAAGACGGCCGGGCGTGGTGCTGGCCCCCCACCTCCGTGTGCCGTGCCGCCCTTCATAGGTGCTGCTCGCTAACAGCACTTGCCCCAACAGTCTAAGGCTACACGGGGGACCTTTGTCTTCGTAATTATTATCACTGCACTTGCTTACGCACGGAAAGCCGAGGGGAGGTGATTGGTGCTGCTGTGTGAAATAGCGCGGTTGGCTTTACGTACGGTGCGAAAGAAGTTCAACGTGCGTGTGTGTGTGTGCCCATAGACTCACACTGCCCATAGACTCACACTGCCCATAGACTCACACTACCCATAGACTCACACTGCCCATAGACTCAACACTGCCCGTAGACTCACACTACCCATAGACTCACACTACCCATAGACTCAACACTGCCCATAGACTCACACTGCCCATAGACTCAACACTGCCCATAGACTCACACTGCCCATAGACTCACACTACCCATAGACTCACACTACCCATAGACTCAACACTGCCCATAGACTCACACTGCCCATAGACTCACACTACCCATAGACTCACACTACCCATAGACTCACACTACCCATAGACTCACACTACCCATAGACTCACACTGCCCATAGACTCACACTGCCCATAGACTCAACACTGCCCATAGACTCACACTACCCATAGACTCACACTGCCCATAGACTCACACTACCCATAGACTCACACTGCCCATAGACTCACACTACCCATAGACTCACACTACCCATAGACTCACACTACCCATAGACTCACACTACCCATAGACTCACACTACCCATAGACTCACACTACCCATAGACTCACACTACCCATAGACTCACACTACCCATAGACTCACACTACCCATAGACTCACACTGCCCATAGACTCACACTACCCATAGACTCACACTGCCCATAGACTCACACTGCCCATAGACTCACACTGCCCATAGACTCACACTGCCCATAGACTCAACACTGCCCATAGACTCACACTACCCATAGACTCACACTGCCCATAGACTCACACTACCCATAGACTCACACTACCCATAGACTCACACTGCCCATAGACTCAACACTGCCCGTAGACTCACACTACCCATAGACTCAACACTGCCCATAGACTCAACACTGCCCATAGACTCACACTACCCATAGACTCACACTACCCATAGACTCACACTGCCCATAGACTCACACTACCCATAGATTCACACTACCCATAGACTCACACTGCCCATAGACTCAACACTGCCCGTAGACTCAACACTACCCATAGACTCACACTGCCCATAGACTCACACTACCCATAGACTCACACTGCCCATAGACTCACACTACCCATAGACTCACACTACCCATAGACTCACACTACCCATAGACTCACACTACCCATAGACTCACACTACCCATAGACTCACACTACCCATAGACTCACACTACCCATAGACTCACACTACCCATAGACTCACACTGCCCATAGACTCAACACTGCCCATAGACTCACACTACCCATAGACTCACACTGCCCATAGTCTCACACTACCCATAGACTCACACTACCCATAGACTCACACTGCCCATAGACTCAACACTGCCCGTAGACTCACACTACCCATAGACTCAACACTGCCCATAGACTCAACACTGCCCATAGACTCACACTACCCATAGACTCACACTACCCATAGACTCACACTGCCCATAGACTCACACTACCCATAGATTCACACTACCCATAGACTCACACTGCCCATAGACTCAACACTGCCCGTAGACTCAACACTGCCCATAGACTCAACACTGCCCATAGACTCAACACTGCCCGTAGACTCAACACTGCCCGTAGACTCAACACTGCCCGTAGACTCAACACTGCCCGTAGACTCAACACTGCCCATAGACTCAACACTGCCCATAGACTCAACACTGCACCATAGACTCAACACTGCCCGTAGACTCAACACTGCCCATAGACTCAACACTGCCCATAGACTCAACACTGCCCATAGACTCAACACTGCCCGTAGACTCAACACTGCCCGTAGACTCAACACTGCCCATAGACCCAGCACTGTCCATAAACTCAACACTGCCCGTAGACTCAGCACTGCCCGTAGACTCAACACTGCCCGTAGACTCAACACTGCCCATAGACCCAGCACTGCCCATAAACTCAACACTGCCCATAGACTCAACACTGCCCGTAGACTCAACACTGCCCGTAGACTCAACACTGCCCATAGACTCAACACTGCCCATAGACTCAACACTGCCCATAGATTCAACACTGCACCATAGACTCAACACTGCCCGTAGACTCAACACTGCCCATAGACTCAGCACTGCCCGTAGACTCAACACTACCCATAGACTCAGCACTGCCCATAGGCTTAACACTGCCCGTAGACTCAACACTGCCCATAGACTCAACACTGCCTCTGCACATGAAGCAGTCCCCCTCCTTAACCTCCTTCTGTTCTCTCTAAACCTCACCGCCTCTCCTCCGTCGCCCATTCCCTTCCTCTTCCCCTCCACTGCGTCCCGTCCCTCCCCTGTAGCCCCTTCTGTGCCCCCCCCCCCCCGTGTGCCCTCTGTCACGCTCGCTCACTCACTCCTCGGCGCTTGCACCGCCCTTGGCGTCCAAATCACTCGAGTGACGTTCCTTACCGCTTTTAAACTCCATTGCAGAGCCTCTTGAGCTGCGAAAGTGCGCTCTATGACTAATTGTGTAAAATGACTTAGGACCCTAACGGCAGCTGTGAGCAATTCCCCGCACCTCCGTTTGGCGCGGTTGGCTACGTACGGTGCGATAGAAGTTCAACGCCAGCGCCCCCCATTCGCCACTCAAGTGACGACTTCCGACGTCACCCGCGCCGCGCCTGTGCCAGGCTAGGTGCACTTTGAGGCCACGTGAAGTGTCGAAGGCTCGCTGCTCGCAGGAGGAGATCCACGGGACAGACCCAGCATGTGGCATGGGTGTTGACCGACTGAGACGACTGGCAGATGCACCTATGATCCCCCGTGTAGCCTTAACAGACTGTTGGGGCAAGTGCTGTTAGCGAGCACCTGCGAAGGCCGGCACGGCGCAACGAGGGGGTGAGTGGCCAGCACCACGCCCGGGCCGCCTTTGTCTCCCCAGTGGCGATGTTGTTACGCACCGCACCAGGTAACACATTTGAGGCTGAGTCGACCTAGGGGAGGCCCAGGACCCGTTCGGATAATCGTCACCGGTGTTGGCCTTGAGCGGAAATCGAAGTCGGGTCGCCAGGTTCATAGCGCAGCGCGCTAACCGCTACACCACCGCTTCCCACTTACACACAAACATCAAAAGATCCCCCATATAGCCTGTAGCAGACTGTAGGGGCAAGTGCTGTTAGCTAGCAACCGATGAAGGCCGGCACGGCACACGAGGGGGTGGGTGGCCAGCACCACGCCCGGCCGCCTTTGTCTCCCCAGTGGTGATGTTTACGTGCCGCACCAGGTTACTAATTTGAGGCCGAGTCGACCTAGGGGAGGCGCAGGACCGGCCCGGATAGATAATCGTCACCGGTGTTTGGTGTCCGTGAAGCGGGATTCGAACTCGGGGTGGCCGCGTTCGCTGCGCTAACCGCCACTACACTACCGCTACCTACCACCCGCCAATGCACCTACCCACATAGCGGTTAGTCGGGCGGGCAGTTGCGGGAGCTGCACCTTTAGCCGCGTTACGGTCGGTCGCCCGCCTCTCCAAGCGTCACCTTCCAAAATCCATGGCAAAAAAAAGGTCACGGAGGCTGGGCCGTTCCAGGGTGGATTAGGGGTTAGTCCCGTCGGGCGGCGTGCAAATATTGAAAAATACCACAGCAATCATAATCTCCACCACCCACCCACCCACCTTTCTCATTCAATAATTCTGGGCATCATTAAAAAGTAATAATAATATAAAAATTTGTGATATTCGCAGAAGTAATGAGTTTTTCTGCCGCGATCCAATTCTGCTCGGGCGGTGCTGCAGAGGTCTCCCGCATTAATCCCAGCTGATCTCGCCGTGGCTGTTGTTACAGTGGTTGTTATTGTTTTGTTTGTCTGCGTGTGTGTGTGTGAGTGTGTGAGACGGAGGGAGGGTGGGCGGGCACGCGCGCGCGCGCGTGTGTAGAGAGCGTGTGTGAGAGAGCGTGTGTGAGAGAGCGTGTGTGTGTGTGAGAGAGCGTGTGTGTGTGTGTGAGAGTGTGTGTGTGAGAGAGAGTGTGTGTGTGAGAGAGAGAGAGTGTGTGTGAGAGTGTGTGTGTGTGTGTGAGAGAGAGAGCGTGTGTGTGTGTGAGTGTGTGTGAGAGTGTGTGTGTGAGAGAGTGTGTGCGTGAGAGAGTGTGTGTGAGAGAGAGCGTGAGAGTGTGTGTGAGAGTGTGTGTTTGAGAGAGCGTGAGAGTGTGTGTGTGTGAGAGTGTGTGTGTGTGAGAGTATGTGTGTGAGAGAGCGTGTGTGTGTGTGTGTGAGAGAGAGAGCGTGAGAGTGTGTGTGTGTGAGAGTGTGTGTGTGTGAAGGGGAGCGGTAGTGTAGCGGTTAGCGTGCTGCGCTATGAACCTGGCGACCCGGGTTCGATTCCCGCTCACGGCTAACACCAGTGACGATTTTCTGAACCGGTCCTGGGCCCCCCCTAGGTCGACTCAGCCTTAAATGAGTACCTGGTGCGGTGTGTAAACATAGCGACTGGGGAGACAAAGGCGGTGGGGCGTGGTGCTGGCCACCCACCCCCTCGTGTACCGTTCTGGCCTTCATAGGTGCTCGCTAACAGCACTTGCCCCTACAGTCTGTTAAGGCTATACGGGGGATCTTTGTGTGTGTGAGAGTGTGTGTGTGAGAGAGCGCGCTGCGCTATGAACTCGGCTACCCGAGTTCAATTCCCGCTCACGGCCAACATCAGTGACGATTACCTGAACAGATCCTGGGCCTCCCCTAGGTCTACTCAGCCTCAACTGAGTACCTGGTGCAGTCATGTAAACATCGCCACTGGGGAGACAAATGCGGCCGGGCGTGGTGCCGGCCACCCACTCGCTTGTGTCCCGTGCCGGCCTTCATCAGTGCTCGCTAACAGCACTTTCCCCAGCAGTCTGTTAATCCTCTACCGGGGATCTTTGTCTTTGTGTGAGTGTGTGTGTGTTCTCCTTAATCCCAGATGATCTAGCATGGTTGCTATTACAGTGGCATTATTGTTTTGTTTGTGTGTGTGTACGCGTCCCTGTGTGTGTCTGTCCATGCGTGTCACTGTTGGTCTGTGCATGTCCCTGTGTGTCCGTGCTTGTCCCTGTGTGTCTGTGCGTGTCCCTGTGTGTCTGTGCGTGTCCCTGTGTGTCCGTGTTTGTCCCTGTGTGTCCGTGCTTGTCCCTGTGTGTCTGTGCGTGTCCCTGTGTGTCTGTGCGTGTCCCTGTGTGTCCGTGTTTGTCCCTGTGTGTCTGTGCTTGTCCCTGTGTGTCTGTGCGTGTCCCTGTGTTTCTGTGTGTCTGTGCGTGTCCCTGTGTGTCCATGCTTGTCCCTGTGTGTCTGTGCTTGTCCCTGTGTGTCTGTGCATGCCCCTGTGTCTGTGCGTGTCCCTGTGTGTCTGTGCGTGTCCCTGTGTGTCCGTGCCCCTGTGTGTCCGTGCTTGTCCCTGTGTGTCCGTGCGTGCCCCTGTGTGTCTGTGCGTGCCCCTGTGTGTCTGTGCGTGTTCCTGTGTGTCTGTGCGTGTCCCTGTGTGTCTGTGCGTGTCCCTGTGTGTCTGTGCGTGTCCCTGTGTGTCTGTGCGTGTCCCTGTGTGTCCGTGCATGTTCCTGTGTGTGTCTGTCTGTGCGTGTCCCTGTGTGTCCGTGCTTGTCCCTGTGTGTCCGTGCTTGTCCCTGTGTGTCTGTGCGTGTCCCTGTGTGTCTGTGCGTGTCCCTGTGTGTCTGTGCGTGTCCCTGTGTGTCCGTGCGTGTTCCTGTGTGTGTCTGTCCGTGCGTGCCCTGTGTGTCTGTGCGTGTCCGTGTGTCCGTGCTTGTCGCTGTGTGTCCGTGCGTGTCCCTGTGTGTCCGTGCGTGTCCCTGTGTGTGTCTGTCCATGCGTTCCTGTTGGTCTGTGAGTGTCCGTGCGTGTCCCTGTGTGTCTGTCCGTGCGTGTCCCTGTGTGTCCATGCGCGTCCCTGTGTGTGTCTGTCCGTGCGTGTCCCTGTGTGTCTGTGCGTGTCCCTGTGTGTCCGTGCGTGTCCGTGCGTGTCCCTGTGTGTGTCTGTCCGTGCGTGCCCCTGTGTGTCTGTGCGTGTCCCTGTGTGTCCGTGCTTGTTCCTGTATGTGTCTGTCCGTGCGTGTCCCTGTGTGTCTGTGCGTGTCCCTGTGTGTCCCTGCGTGTCTGTGTGTGTCTCAGTGTTTGTCCGTGTGTGTCCCCGTGTCAAATGAGTCCCTGGTGCAGTGTGTAAAAACATCGCCACCGGGGAGACAAAGGCGGTTGGGCGTGGTGCTGGCCACCCACCCCCCGTGTGCCGTTCCGGCCTTCATAGGTGCTCCTCGCTCAGAGCACTTGCCCCAACAGTCTGTTAAGGCTACATGGGGGATCTTTGTCTGTCTGTGTGCGTGTGTCCGTGCGTGTCCGTGTGTGTCCGTGCGTGTCCGTGTGTGGCAGGGCGTCTACGTGCTACAAGACAACCGGTTTCGTATGCTGACTCAGATTTCCTGCGGGAAACAGTATCTGGAGCACGCCCCTAAGGTGAGTAAGCCTTGCTGTTGTTGTGAGCGTTGTTGTTGTGAGTATTGTTGTTAGCGCTGTTGTTGTAGTTATGAGCGTTTTTGTGGTTGTGAGCCTTTTTGTGGTTGTTGTGAGCCTTTTTGTGGTTGTTGTGAGTATTGTTGTTGTAAGCGTTGTTGTGATTGTGAGCGTTGTTGTTAGCATTGTTGTTGTGTGCCTTGTTGTTGTGAGCATTGTTGTTGTGAACGTTGTTGTAGCATTGTTGTTGTTGTGAGAATTGTTATTGTGAGCATTGTTGTTAGCATTGTTGTTATTGCGATTGTTGTTGTTGTGAGCGTTGTTATTGTTGTTGTGAGCGTTGTTCGTGTTTTCCACCTATTTACCCAGGAAGGCCTCACCGAGTCTCCGCGAGTCTCGTTTTTGCAGTTGGGGGTGTCATGCTGAAACTGCTCCTCTGACTGTTGCTGCTACTGCTGCTGCTACTGCTGCTACTTCTACTGTTGCTGCTAATGCTGCTGCTACTGCTGCTAATGCTGCTACTGCTACTGTTGCTGCTACTGTTGCTGCTACTGCTGCTACTACTGCTGCTAATGCTGCTACTTCTACTGCTGCTACTACTACTGCTGCTAATGCTGCTACGACTGCTACTACTGCTGCTACTGCTGCTAATGCTGCTACTGCTGCTACTACTTCTGCTGCTACTACTACTACTGCTGCTACTACTGCTGCTACTACTACTACTGCTGCTACTACTGCTGCTGCTACTACTACTGCTGCTGCTACTGCTCCTACTACTGCTGTTGCTACTGCTGCTAATTCTGCTACTACTGCTGCTGCTACTACTGCTGCTCCTACTACTACTGCTGCTACTGATACTTCTACTGCTGCTGCTTCTACTACTGATACTGCTGCTACTGCTGCTGCCACTGCTGCTGCTACTACTGTGACTGCTGCTCCTACTATTGCAGCTGCTACTACTGCTATTGCTGCTCCTCCTATTACTACTGCTGCTGCTACTGCTGCTGCCGTGAGCAAACCCCACTGAGTAATTTCCAGGGGATGTACCAGCATTGTGCTGTTTGGGTCAATAGCGGTAACGCTGTACGGGTTTGAAAGTTATTTTTCTACGCGGCAAAGCCGGAGAACCCGGAGAAAAAGCCACGTAGATGAGAGGGAGAGAACATACAAACTACGCACAGACTCGCACAGAGACCCATAGACTCACACGGAGATCCATAGACTCACACAGGGACCCATAGACTCACACAGAGACCCATAGACTCACACAGGGACCCATAGACTCACACATACACCCTTAGACTCACCCTGTGCCCCATAGACTTATGCAGAGACCCACAGACTCGCACAGAGACCCACAGACTCGCACAGAGACCCACAGACTCACACAGGGACTGATATAGCCCACAGGGACCCATAGACTCATACAGACTCAGTCAAGGTCGGTCAGGGTCACTCAGGGCCAGGGTCACTCCAGTTCAGGGTCACTCCAGTTCAGGGTCACTCCAGTTCAGGGTTATTCAAGGTCACGGTCACTCCAGTTCAGGGTTATTCAAGGTCAGGGTCACTCCAGTTCAGGGTCACTCAGGGTCAGGGTCACTCAGGGTCAGGGTCACCCAGCAGAGGAAGGAACGGGGGACATTGGGGGCTGCCTCTGCCCGGCAGTGGCCGACAATGACGACGACAGCAGCAGCAGCACTTGCCCCCAGCGGTCCGTGTGGGCTACACGGGGGATCTTTGTCTGTGCGTGCGTGCAGTTCCTGGCCTTCACGTGCGGCATGGTGAGAGGAGGCCTCTCCAACCTGGGCATCAACAGCGTCGTGACGGCAGAGGTGTCGGTCATGCCCGCCTGTGAGTGGCCCTCGCAAACACAAAGGTCCCCCACCCCGTGTAGCCTGCCACAGACTTGGGGGCAAGTGCCCGGCAGCAGGAGGGGGAGGGTCAGCACCAAGCCAGGCCGCCTTTGTCTTGCTATGGTGCCGACGTTTACACATCGCAGCTGTGTTTTTCATTTGAGGCTGAGTCGACCTAGGGGAGGTCTAGGACCCGGTTCAGATAATTGGCCGTGAGCGGGAATCGAACTTCGGGTCGCCTGGTTCGTAGCGCAGCGCGCTAACCACGACACTACCGCTCCCACAAAGACAAAGATCCCCCGTGTAGCCTTAACAGACTGTTGGGGCAAGTGCTGTCAGCGAGCCGGCACGGCACACGAGGGGGTGGGTGGTCAGCACCACACTCGGCCGCCTTTGTCTCCCCAGTGGCCATGTTTACACACCATACCAGGTGACTCATTTGACGCTGAGTCGACCTAGGGGAGGCCCAGGACAGATAATCTTTACTGGGTGTTGGCCATGAGCGGGAATCAAACTCGGGTCGCCGGTTTCAAAGCGCAGCGCGCTAACCGCTACACCACCGCTCCTGCTGGAAGAAGACCCTGTAACCTTTATCTTCAGTTTGGGATGTGATTGTAAACACTCATTCACTGGCCAACACCTTCATACGGAGAGGACCGCAGAGCTTGGGGGATGATGGGCGGGGGCAGTTTGGCGGTGGGCATCGCTGCCGCTGCCGCTGCTGCTGCCTCGGCACTCATCTGTGGTTCCTCCTCCTGGTGCTTCTGAGTCGTCCTCTCTCTCTCTGAGTCGTCCTCTTTCTCTCTCTCTTTGAGTCGTCCTCTCTATCAGTCGTCCTCTCTTTCTTTGTGAGTCGTCCTCTCTCAGTCGTCCTCTCTGTCTCTGAGTCGTCCTCTCTCTGTCTCTCTGAGTTGTCCTCTCTCTCTGAGTCGTTCTCTTTCTCTGAGTTGTCCTCTCTCTCTGAATCGTCCTCTCTCTCTGAATCGTCCTCTCTGAATCGTCCTCTCTCTCTCTGAGTCGTCCTTTCTCTCTCTCTGAATCGTCCTTTCTCTCTGAATCGTCCTCTCTCTCTCTCTCTGAGTCATCCTTTCTCTCTCTGAGTCATCCTTTCTCTCTCTCTGGGTCGTCCTCTCTCTCTCTCTGAGTCTTCATCTCCCTGTCTCTCTGAGTCGTCCTCTCTCTGTCTCTCTGAGTCGTCCTTTCTCTCTGAGTCGTCCTTTCTCTCTCTCTGAGTCGTCCTCTCTCTGTCTCTCTGAGTCGTCCTCTCTCTGTTTCTCTGAGTCGTCCTCTCTCTCTCTCTGAGTCTTCCTCTCTCTCTAAATCGTCCTCTTTCTCTCTCTCTGAGTCATCCTTTCTCTCTCTCTGAGTCGTCTTCTCTCTCTCTGAGTCGTCCTCGGAGACAGAGAGAGACAGAGAGCAAGATACAATGAATCATCATTGATTCTATCTTTCTTGTGATGTGTGCGTGCGTGCGTCTGACAGGTAAATTTCAGGTGATGATACAGAGGTCCTGAGCGTCTGTGGATGAACATCTCCACCAGGGGAGGGAGACCCGGCGGTGCAGAGGTCAACAGGCTGAGCCGGCAACCTCCAGAGAACGCGAATTCGAATCTGGGGGAAGCTGTCTACGATTAAAGCCGGGTTCTCAAGCGCAGGGAGGTTGATGGTCTCTCAGTCCGATCGCCAATGACTCACGAAGAGACCCGTAGACTCACATAGAGACCCGTAGACTCAGGCAGAGATCCGACGACTCGCATAGAGACACATCGACTCACACAGAGACATAGAATCACACAGACACATTGAATCACTGAGTGTCCTAAAGACTCACGCAGAGACCCGTAGACTCACATAGAGACCCGTAGACTCACATAGAGACCTGTAGATTCATGCAGAGATCCGACGACTCGCATAGAGACACATCGACTCACACAGAGACATAGAATCACACAGACACATTGAATCACTCAGTGTCCTAAAGACTCACGCAGAGACCCGTAGACTCACATAGAGACCCGTAGACTCATGCAGAGATCCGTAGACTCACACAGAGACCCATAGACTCGCACAGAGACCCATAGACTCGCACAGAGACCCATAGACTCGCACAGAGACCCATAGACTCGCACAGAGACCCATAGACTCACACAGAGACCCATAGACTCACACAGAGACCCATAGACTCGCACAGAGACCCATAGACTCGCACAGAGACCCATAGACTCGCACAGAGACCCATAGACTCACACAGAGACCCATAGACTCACACAGAGACCCATCGACTCGCACAGAGACCCATAGACTCACACAGAGACACATAGACTCACACAGAGACCCATAGACTCACACAGAGACCCATAGACTCGCACAGAGACCCATAGACTCGCACAGAGACCCATAGACTCACACAGAGACACACAGACTCACACAAAGACACATAGACTCACACAGAGACCCATAGACTCACACAGAGACCCATAGACTCGCACAGAGACCCATAGACTCACACAGAGACCCATAGACTCACACAGAGACCCATAGACTCACACAGAGACCCATAGACTCGCACAGAGACACATAGACTCACACAGAGACCCATAGACTCACACAGAGACCCATAGACTCACACAGAGACACACAGACTCACACAAAGACACATAGATTAACACAGTGACCCATCGACTCACGTAGACTGAGCTGTGATGAAAATGTCGCGTGTTGATGGTCACCAATGGCTGCACGCAAAATAAATTCTGTAAAATATTAAAATTTGGTTCCTCACTGAATGCTGTCGAATCTCAGCGCTGAGAATGAATTTGTTCGGTTCGATCGACATTCGGGACGTGAGGCCACCGCGCTCATGCTGCACGGTGGAGGAGCTACCGGCCAATTACACGCCTTGCGCGAGGGGGCAACGCTCGATCCCCCCGCCCCCTTCTCCTGGCAGAGCCAGCGGGTACGGCGCTACCTCGACGCTGACCCACGGGTAGAAGGGAGTTTCACAGCACCATCTGTGTGTGAGCCACCAACCTCTCGCTGCGGCCTCCACAGCGCTGGGTTGCAGGCAGCCACGTGGAGCAGCGTGGCCACGGCCGTGATGTTTTTTTCGGGCCAAATGTCGCAGATTTCCGATGTTTCTGCTGGATCCTAAAATCTGGCCCCACATTGCAGTCGGACACCGAACGATTTCCCACCTCCGCCCACCTCCACCCACCACCACCCACCACCACCCACCACCACCCACCACCACCCACCACCACCACCCACCTCCCCCCACCTCCACCCACCACCTCCACCCACCTCCGCCCACCACCGCCCACCTCCACCCACCTCCACCCACCACCACCCACCTCCCACCACCTCCCCCCACCTCCACCCACCACCTCCACCCACCTCCGCCCACCCACTACCGCCCAACTCCGCGCAGCTCCGCCCACCTCCACCCCCCCGCCCACCTCCACCCACCACCACCCACCACCACCCACCTCCACAAACCTCCACCCACCTCCGCCCACCTCCACCCACCACCTCCATCCACCTCCACCCACCACCTCCACCCACCTCCGCCCACCTCCACCCACCACCGCCCACCCAGCGGTCTACTCGTCTCTCCCAGTGGGGGGTTGTGCCTGGACTCACGATGCGAGTCGTCGTGTTGTCCCCGTCCCCGTGTGGGGGGTGTTTGTTCCCCACGAGCGCACTGAACATTCCCTTCTCGTTTGCACACAAACATTAATAATCGATTCCCGAGCGTAAACGTTGATTGGGGTCGATGTTCATCAATAGATATTTACAAGATACACACACCTCCCTCCCCCTACACACACACCTCGCCATACACACACACACACCTCCATCCCCCACCCCACACACGCCGCTACGCACACACACCGCTACACACACACCGCTACACACACACATACCTCCCTACCCCACCCCACACACACACCTCACCATACACACACACCTCCATCCCCCACCCCACACACCGCTACACACACACACCGCTACACACACACACACACCGCTACACACACACACACCTCCCCCACCCCACACACACACCTCACCATACACACACACCTCCATCCCCCACCCCACACACGCCGCTACGCACACACACCGCTACACACACACACACCGCTACACACACACATACCTCCCTCCCCCACCCCACACACCTCACCATACACACACAAACACACCTCCCCCCCACACACACCGCTCCACACACATCGCTCCACACACATCTCACCATACACCTCACACACCGTTACACACACACCTCCCCCAACACACACACACCTCGTATACCTCACCAGACACACACAAACATCTGTCTTTCCAGTGGCGATGTTCACTACACACCGCACCAGGTACTGTTTTGAGGCTGAGTCGACCTAGGGGAGGCCCAGGGCCGGTTCAGATAATCATCACCGGTGTTGGTGGCCGTGAGCGGGAATCGAACTCGGGTTGTGGGGTTCATAGCGCAGCGTAGCGCTAACCTCTCCACGACCGATCGCCAACACACGTGTCTGTGTGTGTCAAAAGACAGAGCCCCCGTATAGCCTTAACAGACTGTTGGGGCAAGTGCTTTGAGCGAGTTAGCACCGATGAAGGCCGGGACGGCACACGAGGGGGTGGTGTGGGGGGCCCGGCCGCCTTTGTCTCCCCACACACACCTCCCCCCCCCCCACGTTTGCTAAAAGCAAGACCCAGACCGAAGTTACCCCCACTCCTATTACCCGTGGGCAGATTAACGGTGATCTGTGTGGAACAGACAACTGAATAAATAATGAATGAATGCTTAAGCGTGCCACGTGGTCTGCTGCTGTTGTTGGCTGCTCCTCACTCGTCGAGGGGTGAAGCAGCGACTCCGTAAGTCCGCGGTGGCTAAGAGATGTTACTGGTAAGAACCTCCTGGTTACACCAGCCCACAGGGGATTATTGTGTCCGTCCGTCCGTCGTGCAGGGAGGGGCTGGGTGGGGAGGGTGGGGAAGGGCTGGGTGGGGAGGGTGGGGCTGGGTGGGGAGGGGAGGGTGGGGAGGGGCTGGGTGGGGAGGGGCTGGGTGGGGAGGGGTAGGGAGGGGCTGGTCACCCCGTGGTGCCCTTATAAAACTCAACGTTTAACCTACTCACGCCGGCTTTTGCCCGCCCTCACAGTCGGGCATATTTGCGGAATACACCACGCCGCCATTGACCCTGGCCATTGACCGAGCAAACCAACGTTCCTACCAGCTCCCTCCGCAGAAATGTGTTAATTCCCTCGCCTGGCATACAGGAGGTCGCGGGTTGGATCCCGACTCTGACAACAAAGCCTGCTGTATTTGGAGTTTGTGTATATCTCTCATCATCACGGTGGCTTTTGAGATGTTAACCATCTCGCCTGGCATACAGGAGGTCGTGGATTCAATCCCGACCCTGACAACAACGCCTGCTGCTGCTCTATATTTGGAGTTTGCGTGTCTCTCGCTCTCCCCGTGGTCGCGTGGATTTTCTCTGTCCCCTCCGTTTTTTTCCTTCACATTTAGAATCAACAACGTCACGCGTTTAGATTTATTTGGCTGCTGCTATACATATCTACGTGATAAGCCACTTCGTTGAAATATTATTTGTGGCTAAGATATATTAACTACCTCTGGTATACAGATCGTGACTACGATCCCGACTCCATCGATACCTGCTGTTTATTTGGAGTATGTGTGTATCTCTCATCATCACGGTGGCTAGGAGATGTTAACTACCTCGTCTGATATCCAGGAGGTCGTGGGTTCAATCCCGACCCTGACGATGCCTGCTGCTGCATATTTGGAGTTTGGGTGTCTCTTTCCCCGTGGGCACGTGGATGTTTCTCCGGTCATTCCCTCCACATTTAGAGTCAACGTCACACATCCAGAGTATTTTGGCTGCTTTCAATTTCCACGATGATAAGCTACTTGGGCTCTCATTTGTGAAGGCCAGGTCGTTTCTGAAAACGAGTTACATAGCTCAGTGGGACCTTACCTGGTAAAACGTCACGTGACCAGCCATGGCGTGTTGCTTTACTGCCTTGGCTGAGCTGCATTCAGTGTTGAGAAATCGTTTTCGAATTAGGACGCCACTGAGAGCTATGCACTTTTAATTCATCTCGATTTAAAAAAAACCCATTTCTTGAGTAGAATTGATTTTTTTGGGGGGGGGGGGGGCTTTATTTTGTCCTTCCCGCCAGCATTAAGCGCGGGTGGCTACATACGGTTTGAAAGAAGTTCCATATTACTGTACATACATCCCTACTTGGACAGCCATTCCTCGATTTACGAAAAGGATGCGTTCAAGAGACACACGGAGAACGAAATTTGCATAAACTGGAGCAGCTTTCACCATTAATTTAATGCGAAAAATGTGGGATGTGTCAAATCTACTCCTAACCTTTTTTCACGATAGAAACTAAAGTGATAATAATTATGATGAACGTGAATATAAGATGATTGAACAATTATCTAATTAATAAACTTTAATAATTCACCTTTTCAGGGAACTTGGCAATATGGAATTACTGGGAAAGGCGAATGTGGAGGTGTTACTGTTGCGTTGTGGGTGATGTGGAGGTGTTACTGTTGCATTGTGGGTGATGTGGAGGTGTTACTGTTGCATTGTGGGTGATGTGGAGGTGTTATTGTTGCATTGTGGGTGATGTGGAGATGTTACTGTTGCATTGTGGGTTATGTGGAGGTGTTACTGTTGCATTGTGGGTTATGTGGAGGTGTTACTGTTGCATTGTGGGTGATGTCGAGGTGTTACTGTTGCATTGTGGGTGATGTGGAGGTGTTACTGTTGCACTGTGGGTTATGTGGAGGTGTTACTGTTGCATTGTGGGTGATGTCGAGGTGTTACTGTTGCATTGTGGGTGATGTGGAGGTGTTGCTGTTGCATTGTGGGTTATCTGGAGGTGTTACTGTTGCATTGTGGGTGATGTGGAGGTGTTACTGTTGCATTGTGGGTGATGTGGAGGTGTTACTGTTGCATTGTGGGTGATGTGTAGGTGTTACTGTTGCATTGTGGGTGATGTGGAGGTGTTACTGTTACAATAAAAACTGCTATTTAAACTATATTCTTGGTTCTTTCGGTAAAGTCACGTAGAAGGGAAACAATAAAATAATAAAAGTATAAAACAATAAAATTCTGATGATTGCTTGTGTTACAGTCGATACGTCGTGAGGATTTTATTGTTTAAGATTTTATTATTTTATTATTTCCCTTCTACGTGACTTTACCGAAAAAAACAAGAATATGAATCCCTGCAGTCACGAAAGCTTTAAATCAAAATGCTATTTAAACTATTCTATTTATTTTACCATGTAAGGCTCACTGAGCTATGTAGCTCTTTTTTCAGCGGCGATCTGGCCACAGATGATAGCCCAGCGAAGTGGAAATTTACACCAGCAGCCAAATCCTCTAAACGCGTGGGGACGTTGATTCTAAATGTAGAGGGAAAGAAACCGGAGGACTCGGAGAAAAGTACACGCGACCACGGGGAGAGAGAGAGACACGCAAACTACAAATATACAGCAGCAGGCGTCAAGGTGGGAATCGAACCCATGACCTCCTGCACACCAGGCGAGGGAGTTAACATCTCGCCACCTCGGCGACCCAGATATATACACTTATGTATCTAGGAGAGTCAGGCTGAATATTCGGACTCTTTTTTGTTCATTACATGGTGGTTTTTTTATTTTCTAATGTGTTTTCAGGACAACAAAACAACCTTGGAGAAAACCCCCACGTCTCGCGCGAGGGAGCAA